TTGCCAAGAGCTGGTGTGGCTCTATAGCATTGACAGTTGGGCGAGTTGGTGTTTGTTCATAGTTATGAACTGCGCATAAAAAACACATGAAACACAGATCTGCGGTATAGCATACTTAATTGCCACGCAGAATTCTGAGGTTCAATTGGTGCTGGGACCTTAAAATTACTTCTTTTCATTCGTCGGGTCAACGACGCCGGTGCCAACTTTCTCTTAACACTCACCCGTTAAAATGACTCATGCGTGTTCTCGCCGTTCCTGGGTAGATACAAAATGTCAATCACTTGTGACACATACCCACATATTAGCGGCACATACCCGACCGCGGGTGTGTGCCACTGTCTGGTGGAAAGTGACGACGTAGGCGATGTGATTGTGACATTACTAACGCAATAGCGCTAAAGAGCTCGTTTCGAAGAAATTCCGGCGTCGGCTTCGTTGGTTGTGAGCGAAAAATCGAGTACGATGCAAACTAAATAAGTAAATGATAAAACACTCAGGTGCAAAGTGGGGACCAAACCAGGGTTGCTTGAATGGAAGTGGAGATCGAACCCGGGTCGTTTGCAAGGCAAGCGAATGTTCTACCACACGGCCACGCGTCTGCCTGGGAAAACACTGAAAAGAATTTCGCCTGCGTGTAAATGCACTGAAAGTAGCTTTCATGCTTCACAAACACACGCGTCCAGTATACATGCTTCACAATGCGACATGAAATATAGCAGTAATAATGCGTGCTACAAGCGTCGATTGCCAACGGCCGTCAGAACATGTGATTTTTATGATGGCTCCGCTGTTGAAAGCCGGTACCCCACTACAAAAGGCACACATCTACACCGGTCTATCTGCACAAATATATCAACACCGATCTCTATAGCATATTCGCCTCCATCGAAAGTGCGGCCGTCGGGGCCGGTGTTTAATTCCACGTCCTACGGGCGAGCAGCCGAGCACAATAACGACCGCTGTGAAAACAGGACCTTCATTCGCGTGCGTTGAAGCTTAACACCACAGTTGCTACAGGCAACTACGGTGGATATGCGTTCATATATCCAGGTGACAAGGAACGACAACGACCTTCATTTAAGATTAGATACTCATATCAGAAACGCCTGATCACCAACAAGCCCTTGAGTGAGTGAGTGAGTGAGTGAGTGAGTGAGTGAGTGAGTGAGTGAGTGAGTGGGGGAGTGAGTGGGGAAGTGAAACAACTTTGTCAGGTCCCCAACAGACCGTAGCAAACTCACTGTCACCTGGCTAGGCCCACTCGGTGACGATTAGGTTCGAGTTACTATATATGTAGCATACACAGTAACTCCTGATCAGGTTAAACCTGCAGACCCTTGCAAGGGTCCTGCATGAATTATTTGAAAACAGCGCACTCAAACAGCACGTTACCGGCGCACATAATCGAGGGCAACATTTTTGTGCCCAGCCGGCATCGGGTTTTTCGCGTATGCCAACGCCAGTACCAGAATTTGACTTACAACAAGCTTCGCTTGAAAAAAGAAAAGAGGCATCTCTATCCAGTTTGTTGACCGAACTGTGTGACATTATCTTCCCAACTATCAGCTCTTGCGATAGCGTACACACGTCACGCAGTAGCGCACGCAACGTCAGGGGAAGCGGGGATATGATAAAACCAGGGTCATATGTCACTACAGCCGGTGAGTTATCGAAAAAAGAGTGAATCGGTGTTTCTTTTATGTCGCTATAGAGAAGTGACAGTATCGTGTTAAATGCGACTCTGTGAAAACGCCTTTCGACCTCGTCGGCATCGGTTACCATGAGCGCTCAATTCCTTGATTGTGTATGTTGAAGAGAGGGGTGCTCTTATAAGCAACAGACGGAAGCCGAAGTTATTTCTCAATATTATCGAAGTGTCACGCGGAAAGAGAAAGTTTATTGTTTCACGGAAGCTGTTGTACAAGAAAACTTGAGATCTAAATCAAATAAAACACCAAAGATTGTTTATTTGAAACTAGGAGCAATAGCACAGACGACGTGTAATCGGGGCAAGAAGACGAGAACTAACTTTATTTCAGAAAAAGAGTAAATGGGAATTCAAGATATGCCTGCTAGTTTTCACTACTAAACATTACAGGACACACGTGTAGCACTGGTCACGAAACTTGCACGAGCAAGCACTTGTTGATGGTTCGAACTGCATTGTTCTCCATAAAAATCGAGCGATTTGCACAGGCTCGTATGGCTTTGTTGAGTACGCCCAGCAGGAGGCCATCAAAACCGCCGAGTCATACCTTGAACGCACCAGTCTCAAGCGCTCCCCCGAAAAGTCGGAGCTCTTGATATATTTGCCCAAACGCAGGGATGCCAAACCCAAAGGAGGGAAACTCCCGGCTGGAGGCAACACCATCCTGCACACCAGAGATGGTCGTACAGTTCCCAGGGTCAACACCACCAATGTCCTGGGAATGACCATCCAGTCCCGCGGAACCAACACCAAAACGGTACAGAAGCTCAGGACTAAGACTTAGAACACCACGATCTTCACCCGATATCCTGAAACAGCGGCGCAAGTAGCTATAGCCATGCATATGTGCTCGACAGCAAACGGGAAGTGATCTACAGCTACTCTAGATCAGCCATCACAGTATTTGAACACGGCGTCATCTCCGACTAGACGTTGCGCATCCTCCGCAGCGCGCCCGAGTGCCCTGAAGAGCCACGCTGTCATCTGCTTCCCCGCCCATCTCGGCCGGGTGCCCCGTCACACCTCAACGAGATCGTCCGTGATGCAGCGCGTGCACTTACCAACCATGCTGCCACAGGGCAACCCCATCTCGCTGAGTTAGAGACCAATCGGGATGAACTCATTACCTACAACATCACATAACACTGGGTGCCACATTTTCTACCCACACAACCCAAACTTAACAGACCGCAGGCGTTAACCTTACATACGCTTAGTACAAACGCACACGTACTCAAACCTTGCCAAGCTTTACGTTTACTATCTCGATGCGTACCCCAGTGACACGTGCCCCTCATGTGTATGCACAGCGACACTCACACACATGCTGTGGGAGTGTAGAAATGCTTATCCCGGCAAACAAGTGGGAGATGTCCCTCAGAAGCTCCCTTCTCGCCGACCAGCAGGCCCACGATGCGGCCGCCAGGTACTCCCAGTTGGTCCCTACGTGGGAGACACCCGGTACGCGCTAAGCACGTCCTGCAGGACAAAGATAGAGTTTTTCTATTTCATTACATTTTGATAAATCGTATGGCCTGTGAACCTTCCTGTGAGAGCCAACCCTATCGGAAAAAAACGAATGGTGGGCATGGTGGAAACCACCACCCACCATTATAGTGGAATAATGTAGTGGGTGAATGGTGGGAAACGCCCACCATGGCGCATGGTGGGTATGGTGGGTGCTGCAGTGCCGGCAACACTTGAGCGCGAAATGACGTCAGAATCACCGTGACGAGCTGCCACAAAAAATAAAAAAGAATTCTATAAAAACTATACAAAAACACCCGTCCTGTAAAAAAAAGAAAACAAGGCGCCACGGAGGATCGAACGTGCTACCTGCGGATCACCATGCAAAGACGCTAACCACTGCGCCACACCAACATGACGTTGCTCGTGTGTTAAATAGTTAGTTGGCATACAAACTTCACGTTCACCTTAAGCTATGTTTGTCGTGTACACAACATAGACAAGATCTACGCCTGCTACTAAAATTGCACATTTATTAAACACAAGCAACTGCGGCCTGTAACGATTGCCACCATGTTAATGGCACTAGTGCTATTTTTTTTTACAATTCACAACTTCAAGAGAAAAAAAACCAAGTGGACTGGGGAGCAGCAACAGTTTACCGGCGGGGTCTGCCAAGTTTAATATCCGTTTCGCGCTCGTTCTAAAGGGCGACATCTGCTCACGCTTTATGACGCTTCTAGGCTCATTCCATAGATACGCCCGCCTAATTTATTTGATTGAGTATTGGAATGCTTTTCACGTAGTGTAGAGGGCGGTCGCGCCAGCGCAATGCTGTAGCTCTTTCGCTAAAGCAACAACTACATAACGGCTTGACCAAAACGAATGCAGTGTGCCGGAAACATTACGCTATCATATTGGTTCACCAAGCACACGAATTGCCACGTCTGAGTTCTCGTACAAAAGGTGGAGAAGTGCCGGCGAGTGCGACCGGCGGCTGTCGGTGAGAAGACACTTAATTACGTTCTCTGGGAGTGCTTTAATCGCGTCGCATCGATGTTTGTTGCTTCTTGAGCGGACACCATACACAATGAAAAATGCTTCATTTAGGGGTATTGATGCCATATGGCTGCGCTGTATTGTCATACTTAATCGTCGAAATTGTGTATTCTGAAACGCGGAAGCACGGATAACACAATTGTGCGGGCTCGGTCAGTAAGCCTAACCTTTGGTGGAAATCATGGTGGTAGAACATGTAGTGCGCAGATCCCAGCTTGGTACACTTTATAAATTGCCCGCCATTTTAATCCCACCCATCATCTGCTTACTGCTTCCCAGCATTATCGCGATGGTGGGCAGAGCTTCTCAGCTTGGTACACCATGTGGCCCACCATAACAAGCAGCACCCATCATCTGCTTAGTGCTTCCCAGCATTATCGCAATGGTGGGAAGAGTTTCTCACCTTGGTACACCATGTAGCCCACCATAATAAGCACCACCCACCATATGCTTAGGGCTTTCCAGCATTATCGCAATGGTGGGCAGAGTGTCCCATTATTGCCCACTATATAGCCTCTGCTTTCCACCATCATTTCCACTTTACCCATCATCTGTACACCATACCACCCAGTATGTCCCGGCATAACCACCATATTTTCCACTACGTCGCACCATAGCCATCATAATTTCCACCATGCCCACTATTATTTCCACCATGCCCACTATTATGTCCACTACGCCCACCATGTTTTCCAGTATCCACCATGGCAATTTTTCCGATAGGGAAGTGCTCGAGGTATATCTAGTGCTGTCGACGATGCAGGAATACTCCGATTTACGGCTGGAGAGCAGTGATCAGAACTTCGTCAAGCTGGCCCTGAGGAAACTTCGCAGCGTGTGCCAGGTGAGCGCAATAATCATCATTAACGAGCTGAGTAAACTTAACCCGGAGGTACAGTTGCTCGCGATCACCCACTCATACTGTTCGGTAGAATACACGTATACGATGACTATTGAACTACCGTTTTTACTCACATACTGGAAACATTTGTAAACACCGACTAATGGTGATTAGTGTTAACCAAACAATGGCTACTGTAGGGTGGTGTTGGCTAAATTACATTTAACGTTTGTTGAACGTGACTATCTCATCGCGAACGTGGGCTTGTGGTGGTGAAATATTGGCAGCTGTCTAGCTAAACGAGGGCTTCATAATGTGACAAATATAAGACATACCTATATTGACTACGACCTCATTAACGTCGGCTAATATACTTGCTATTATCTGTCATAGCGGCAACAATTCCAATCTCGTAGGCCCCTGATCCAAATTTGTATTAAGCAGCAAGCTTGTCGTCACACGTCAGTTTTTGGTTGCCGCGAAGAGTACATTTTGGGTTGTAGTAAAGGGCATCGAGGAGTAAGCCGCATCAGAACGCATTCTACACAACGCGCATAGTGCGTGTCCTTGTGTCACAGAAGCGAGAAACATGAACGCCCGGCTGCCTTACACGATGCGTCATGCGTTGCACTTTCAATCGCAGATGGCAAAGGAAGCCGGAATTACAATCCTGGTGGACGCGGAGTACTCGAACATGAACGGGGGCATCGAACTTCTGGGTCTCACTCTGATGGCCGCCTTCAACGAGCGCACGCCGCTCGTGTGGAACACGTACCAGTGCTACCTAACGGTAATGAAGCACAGCAACTCCATGGAGTATTGTTGCCTCTCTAAACAAGCAAGATGCATCCTCGGAGCTTGCAGATGTGCCCTAAACTTTATTTCGTTTTGTTCGACGCGTCCGGATGCCGCATCTCAGTGATTGAGCATTCTGTTGAAACGAAAGACGCACGTAGTACTTTTTTTGTGCATTTCAATACTTGTAAAATGAGCATTGCTGCGTATTTTGCTGAAGCCTGTTTAAGGTGTCTTACGGCAGGTGTGTATAAGAATATTTTCGCAGCAGTTTGGCTCAGATACTGGTGAACTGTTCAAGATGTTCTAAATGCTATGCGATGAAAGTCGCAGCCCCCTCGAGATCCGCTTCTATCGCTATTAAGTAATGTAACACTCGGTAAGACTACGTGAATGTCGCTTGAAAATGCAGCCAAACACTTGTATGGGGAAAAGGAAGCGTTCTCGCTGGAGTTACGCATGAACACTGGAAGAGAAACGCGCGGGAGTTGGACTATGATAATGATGGGAGGACATAGCAGGATCGTAAGGAGTGCTATCCAGATATAGGAGGAAAATACTGCTTTGACAGCGCAGGACGCACCCGACAAGGTGTCACGACACCTGCGCCTGGCGGATCGCATGGGCTGCTCGTTCGGCGTTAAGCTGGTGCGTGGGGCCTACATGGACGGCGAGCGCAGAAAGGCCAGGGAGCACGGCGATCCCGACAATGTCTGCACCAGCTATCAAAAAACGAACGAGAACTACGACAGGTACGCGTAGATCCTTGCCGCCACTCATTATTTTTATGAAGTGCCGAGACAACGATGGAAGTGTCATTTCTTATCTGCGTGTGCAAATCCTTGGATCCGCGCAGTCGGTCGTTGTCAAAGCAGACCGCATTAAGCAAAGGTTACGATCATGTGATGTGTAATTATATAAAGAAAGACCTGCAACATGTTCAGCTCATACAGTTCGAGCAGAACTCCAAGGAAAACTCTGCATCACTGTTCCGAATTACGTTATTTGGTCGAAGTACAATAGGGGCCTTTAAAGTTTCGGGTTAAAGTGGTATGCGGAAAACGACTGACGTGTATTTAAAATTCACTAAGGTTGAGCGTTGGGCTAGTTGGTACGACGTAATTTCAACGTTTAACAGTGAATGCAACGAGAGTGAACAAAGATTGGCGCTTTGGGTGTTTGCTCTTTGTTCGTCCTCGTATGCGTTGTGAGACGTTGAAATTATGTGTACTTAATCTTACTTTCATCTTGCGCATCGCACCCCGATTCTCGACTGATTTGTGTTCGCAACAATTAAATTGGCCACTTGAAGAAGGAGAAGATGCCATTAAAAAAATGACTTTCACAGAGACGCCATACTGAGGCTCCATGTTAGGCTGCGTTGTCTCCCTCGCGTTTACAAAACAAGCCATTCTTTTCCCCGAGGCACCACTGAAAAAAAACACGAGCAGGTGCTGCAGGGCTCCACTTTTGGTCCTGTTCAAGGCGTGCGCGTATATGGTGTACCTAAAATAGGTTACAGTAGAAGGTTTTGTTGCATCAGCGAGCACAGGGTTTCCCTTCAGGAAGAGGGGATGAAGGCTCGTCGTTCTTGCGTACCCCCTCCCCCATTAGGTGACTAGGGGGGCGCCCTCCCCCTGCTCTTCCTACCGTGCGCACGCCTGTGGTTTCACGTGTCAAACTCATCATATGAACAGTCATGAAACACGCGGCCGTATGGAAGTTTTGGCTTAATATTGATGACTTCAGTTTCTTTAAGGTCCACGTCTTGCATGGTAGACGAGAGTCTCTGCATTTTCTTTTCATATGAATGCAGCTGCCAGTTACGAAATCAAACCGGAGACCTCGAAAAGACATATTTATCCGCTAAGATACCGCGTCGGGCTGTAGTGGAATGATTCTATAGATGACAGTTTGATTGCAAGAAAAACGGTCAGGTTGGCCCTGTCCGCACATTCTAAAGTTCGCGACTTTCTCCGCCATTTGTTTGAATTCTTGAAGGTTTACACCTGTGTAAAGTGCAGAGTATTAAGCAAACGTCATTTATTGAAGAACATGACACATGGGCTAGAAATAATTGGCGCATTTCGTAGACGTTGCACCGAATCTTTAAGTTTTATCATTTATTCTCCATGTTCTATTTTCTCGCTATCTTGCTTTCCGGTACATCATGTTCTGTTTCTAATATCGCTTAAGTACAGCCACGTTATAGGGAACAGACAGTGTTTTCGATGTTCCTGCGTTTATGCTCTTCTCTTTTCAGGGTGCTGTGCGACCTTCTCGAACACATCTATCGGTCTGAGAAGGAGTGCCGTCTGGTGGTAGCGACGCACAATGAGCACAGTATACGCACTGCAACCACACGGTATGATGCGTTCGCAGATGTGCGTGTAATAGTAGAAACGGTATGTTTATGGCGGGATACCTTGGCAAGGGTGACCGGGTTCAGCTAGTGAAGGGCTCCACCATCCTGTGCGGCTCATTGGATTCAGTCGAGTCCAGCAACTTGGTTCTTCCGACCCTTCATAGGCACTGAACATGTGCAGCAAGATACACTTTTTGCTCGACAACCATAGTCCATTGTAACTCGAGTATCGATTATTCAATTTATGCTTGCTCTATTAGGTTATACACTAAACAATCACTACACACACACACACACGTGTGTGTGTGTGTGTGTGTGTGTGTGTGTGTGTGTGTGTGTGTGTGTGTGTGTGTGTGTGTGTGTGTGTGTGTGTGTGTCCATGCCCCTTTCTCCTCCCTTCAGTTTATTTGAGATAATTTGTAGAAAGTACATATTGTTACGCGTCCCTTAATATACGAAGGCATCTGAATGGTCGTTTATTGTACGTGGCATATAACAATCTAATCTTACCCAGCATTACCTCCTCTTTCTTATTCGCTCATTTTTTTCTTTGTTCCAATCTTTGCTGTCTATGTTGTAAGCACGAGCCTGGAATGCATCGCTACTTATATTCAGGATCTTGAAATATGCCACATATGCAGCCATACAACTTTAAGACACTAGCAATGAGCTGTAGTATGTTTTGTGTCGTAACTCCATTGCACTAAGGACCACAAGATGCCGAGTAGATGATCCAACAAAATTGCCGTAATATCGTGCTTTCGTTGACCATTTGTACCTCAAAAAAGAGTTAATTGGTTTCGGTAGGCCCGTTATGTTTTAATTGGCGTTGCCCCATCTTCCTAGCATGCAGGAGCTGGGCCTGGCTGTCAACGACAAAAGGATCAGCTTTGCACAGCTACTGGGAATGTACGACCACATCACTTTCCCGCTAGGTGGGTCGCCAGTCAATTCTCAAGTTAGCAATTCTTTGTAAAACAAAGCAGTGAAAGCTTCGCCACAAGGGCGAAGCAGTAAACGCGATAGCAATAAATAGAAGTGGGATACGAAATAAGGCTAGCAGCTAAACACATTTCTCGTCATCAAACCCGAGCTAATTAAACGAAATGAAGATGTAAAAAAACAGCATCCGCTGCAGTAATGAAGGGACGCGTATGCTGACCCTCAAGAACAACGCGGGAAGAGCTTTGAGCCACCTGCGGACCACTGTGGCAATAAGGTTATTGAAAGAAGTTAGAGGTTACTCGTATTTCATATACGCGTTATTTCTGAGGAAGATTTCAAACCAGGTTTCGAGAAACATTTTTGCACTGATTTCCAGGACGATTAAAATCCGTACGCCGATTCTGACACATGGAGCGTGCAAAATAGTGCCTTGAGACGGAGCAGAAAAAAAAAGTGAAAAGAAGCACACCTACACAGGGTATGTGTGCTCCTTGTCGTTTCTGTCCCGTATCGGCGCGCTGTTTTTTTTTTTTTTCTACTGCCAAACGGCCCACCAACAATCAGTGTTCAAATATGGACGTTTTTGTTCTGTGGTCACGTTTCAACAGGAGGTGACCTCATCGGGTGCCGTATGAAAACAAAAAGTGTTTGAAGTCATCCATAACTTAAAAAGAAAATGAAAATCAATATATGGGTGGAAGACAGTCATGCGTGGGCCGCAAATGGCCGCTATGCGAAGGGTCGGTGGGTTGCGTGTTTGAGGCACCTGATTTAGACGATCTTATCAAGTGCGACCAACATGAAACGTGTTCGACGATCCTGCTTAAAATTTGTGTTCCAGTTTAAAAGCACTCTGTTCTGATCGCACGCAGCCGCCCGGGGGTACAACGTGTACAAATCCATCCCGTACGGCCCACTGACGGATCTGCTGCTGTACTTGGCGCGACGGGCCAGCGAGAACCGGTCCGTGCTGAGCAGCCCAGTCGTCGAGAGACGCATGCTGGCCTCTGAGATACGCCGCCGACTCACGGCGACCTGGAAGAGGCGCCTGGAACCGGCACACGACTGACTCGGTCGCGCGTTGTATACGGGATGTCACACGACACGTGTCGAGAGAGATACGATGTCAGCGCGTTGCCCTCGACCACGAAAACGAGAACTCTCGGCTTACACAGCGCGACGCGTGATAATTTCCAACTGCTCCGAGTGGTGGGATCAGTGCCGTGCTGTCTCTTCCTGCTGCTGCTATCTCTTCCTGCTCAAAATGAGGATAAACTGTGCTTGTTGGCGATTACAAAATGAGCCATAGTATCAGGGAAAGATGTAAGCGTGACGAGGTTATCACTTGTACAACAGGCGGCGTCAATGCTCAAGAATAGTGCATCTCTTTGTTAGAATGAGCATCATTCTTTATTTGGCTGCAGGTTTGAAAAATTCCTCGATCCTTCGTGCCTCTCCTCTAATTCTCTTAAAGTGTCACTAAAGAGGTAAACTATCTTTCTCGTATGAGTAAATTACTCTTTTGCCTCACCTACAACACCATGCTTGTCGCGAAAATACATTTGGTAAGTGGGAATACGACCAAAAAGAAACTGCTGGTGGCGATGCCATATTGAACTTCTCGCACCCAGCCCCGTGACGTCAAAGGTTTTGACGGTGTCTGCTACGTTTTACGTGGCTCCTGCAGCCAATAGAAATGAAGTGCACTGTGCTCTGAGGGCGGCATAGGCCTATAACACCAAGTTTGAGAAAACATTGTGGAGCCACTTGTGTTGCAAAACTGGGAAAAATATACTTTCGAATCCGGGACGTCACGGGCGGAGACTTCAGCGTGAAATTCAAAAGAAAAAAACTAGGCCCCCAATTTTCACCTTCATTAGTGTAGTGCACCTTTGATGGTAAAATTAATGACATCAGAAGCTTCTGAGCATAATTTATCAATCAGAATCATTTCGCTGCTTCCCTTAAACATCCCTTTCAGACAGTTGGCAGATCTCGTGCATGCGGAAGTACATTGTCGACGGCGAATGCAAAAAAAAAATTCCTGGAGCTTAACACTGGGCCGCGGTCAGCCTTTCCTTGACTGGCTTGTTCACGTAGGGGCGGAATACCTTCCTGGCATTGACATGCTTGTTAATATATATATATATATATATATATATATATATATATATATATATATATATATATATATATATATATATATATATATATATATATATATATATATATATATATATATATATATATATATATATATAGGAATCGATTACCCTCTTTAAGATCATTCTGAACAGAGGCCTGAAAATATGGCCTGATGGTGACGCATAACCTGCTTGTCATACATTTTAGCACAAACACACTCAGTACACACGTACCAAACGTCTACAAAACGAAAAACGCAGAAGAAGTGAACGGGATGGCACGTAAGATGGACGCAGTGGCTACTGGCCTCTACAGTAATAAAGACTTCGTGGACGAGGCATGGCTGCGGTCGTTCGTTACGCTTGAGTAACGCCAAGAGTTTTAATAAGACTTGATCAAGCCATCAATCATATGCTTAAAAAGCTGGACACGTTATTTTGCTCTTTGTTACCATCATCCCATGATCTTCGCAAAGCACGATTGTTCTTTGTATTGAAGCTGTTGAAACATCTGTGTTCTAAAATAGGAGACACCAGTCTAAAGTGTTTCCATTTCGTTATATCGTGACCATTACGATGGCTTGACTCAGGCGTCTCAAGCTCGCCTCCACCAGCGGGCGGCAGTAACGCAGATTGAACGTGAGACGTCACGCCTAGACTGAAAAAAAGGTACCGAAGCAAATTGTGTATGCGGGCGTCTTGTAACTTTTTGTCCCATCTAGGCGCTTTGTTTCACATTCAGTATGTACCAACTGGTCCCTCCGCAATCTTTCTTGCGAAATTAAATCTCGCACATGTCAAAACAATGGCGAAAGTAAGAGCGGAGGCAAAGGGGTGGGGGCAGATTTTATTGTCAGCAATCACAGCCATTTGAAAGACAGCCATTCCAAAATCTCATATGTGGGCCATTTCAGAAGAAGACTGTGCGCCAGCCTTCCAACATGTCGATACTGATCTCCAACCATGACTTTCAATCTTGACGTCGAATCAGAAATATTGTTTTTGTTTGTCACTTATGTTTCAAAACATTCGTGGCCCCATTGGGTGCCTCACGAAAGCAATGCTTTAGACCATTTAAAGCCTGTGTGAGTCAAACAAATGTGAGTCAAACACCAACACGCACGGGCCGCGGGTCGCAAGCAAGGCGCATGCCGTCAACGCACCGCGTGTCTGGGACCCCTGGCTTAACTAACGCAAATTAAGGAGGAATCAACAAATGAATCAGCTCCCAATGAATCTTGCTGACACATCGAATAAACGGCTGTTGTTCTTGCAAATTTTTTTAATACAGATGAACTGCCCGATGATGCTGTTTTGTAATCACTATGGCCGCTAAACACAATACAGCCGCCATACAGTTATTAAGATGTAAAGGGTGCTTACCCAAAACACGCGTTGTTTAACCAACGAATGAGAATTCACGCACTAAAACGCCTGATGAGTGATTGATATGTCGGGTTTAAAAGGCCGAAACCACCATATGATCATGAGAGAGGCCGTAGTGGAGGGCTCCTGAAAATCCGACCACCGGGGGTGCTTAAACGTGCACCCAAATCTGAGCACACGAGCCTACAGCATTTTCGCCTCCATCGAAAATGCAGCCACCGCAGCCGGAATTCAATCCCGTGGCCTGCGGGTCAGGAGCCGAGTACCTTAGCCACTAGACCACCACGACAGGGGCAATTAAAACACCCGTAGTGACTAGGGAGCAGTGGCGCGAATGAATTTTCGGTGAAGAAAATTTCACTGCAGCTATGGTGATCTGGGTTCAATGGTGAATGTATCAGTAGCAAGGCTGGATAAGGTTGGAACTGCGTGTATCTTTCTAGCGTGCCGCATAAATTAGTCGAACCCCAACACTTAGTAGTGGCCCATTAAAAGAGACAAAGAGAAGACGTGGGAGGCGAACACCAATTAGGATCCCGTATAGGAAGTGCCTATAGACGCATGCGGCAAGCCATGTACAAGACGTCGCATTCCACGAAACGGCGTATGCGGCAAAATGACTCGAGTGTCATGCTGATCAAATGGAATACTTTAAACGAGTGTGCGCTTAATTCTAAGTGAACTTTACGCACCCACAAGTTCGATTCAGGAGCAAGGTGTGTGTGATCTTCCATGGTTGGAAATCCTGTGCCACCACCATGTCGTGTTTTTCACAGCTTGGCAGGCCTTCCGCATTCACACGGGGAAATGACTAAGACTTTTCTTTTTATAAGCCTCTGCTTTTGGCAAGCCCGTGTATGGTGCATGTATTGAGATTGTGATTTGTTTAGTTTTTGAACCAGCATGTAAAGCAATAAACTATGTTCAGTCAAAGAAAGGTTGAGACGGCGCGTCATGGGCACCACTTCGTCGAGTATATTATCCATGTGTCATCCCCTTCTTCTGAGCCAGCACGTGCTCCCTCAGGTGTAGTTAAGACTGCAGGCGAGTCAAATGCCGATGCATCGAGTATTCCGAGAACCACAGCATGATGCTGTGTCTGAAGTCTAAGATTCATGCATACGGTACCCTACTTACAGCATACGTCTGAAGTTATCGTATTCGGTACGTGACTGTTGATGAATTTCTAAACGAATAGTAACGCTTGCAATGCTGTGAAAATTCACCTTTATAATTGCACAGGACGTCATAAATTAGTCACTTTATGAGTGTACAAACACGAAAATGGTTTTATGCTCACTTGAACTTCTCCCCTGAGATCTGCGCTGTTTCCATCGCTCACCATCAGAGTGGCGTTGATATTGACGCCCCTTTGCACCAACCTCGATCTCTTGCTACCCTCGCTCCAGAGTGCCCATCCCGAAATACACGTCGGACATACCAGCCCACAAGCTTCTAGGGTACAGGTCAAATCGCATTCTTGTGGCAGTTCATCTTGCATAAGCAACAAAGTGTCACGCGGAAGAGAGCAGTGCGTCGAGGCCCGTTTTTAAAGCGGTTTCTTGTACTGCTCGTGCGCTTCCTCGATCGCGTGCAGCAACTCGGCGGCGTACGTGCTGTCCGTCCAGGAAGAGCTGCGCCGTCGTCGTCGCCGCCCGTGCGTGACGGCGGCGGCCGCCGGTGCCACATTGCCCTGCACCGTGACGGGCGTGAGTCCCGTGGCGAGGATGGACGTGAAGGGGGCCATGAATGTCGCCAGGCCTAACATGGAGGCCAGTCCGAGGCCCAGCATGAACAGCAGGATGTCCTCGGCGTCGAAGTACGAGCGGCCCGTGGGACGCAGCGCACCACCCAAACGCTTCTTCAACGCGGATGGAGAGAACGGGAGGTGAGATCGGCCCTCTTCGTCGTCTGCCGTCGACGCACTCGCTGCGTAGCACGCTGGAGCAAGAGTCAGCAAGAGGAAGGTCACCGCCAAGCCTACGGCGAGAATGGTGCGGCTGTTCCTCGATGTGACCCTAGCCTTTCTCCTTGAGCCAGGTATGGAAAGCCTCATGGTGGAGAGCGCCTGCGTTAGACACGAGCAAGTGAGATAGATAGATAGATAGATAAATAAATAAATAAATAAATAAATAAATAAATTGACCAGTCAATCAATTAATCAAACTTTTTTCTCGATAGCTAAGAAGAATGCATAAGAAGAAACCGAGAAGGAAGCAAGTCAACATATTTTGCACAGATTTTGTACTTTGTGTAGAGCGCGGCGAACATACCGCCTCCCAAATGAAATATTACAGCACAATGACACAGATGACAAACTGAATTAACAGCATGGTAACGTTAGTAGATTGTGGTACATTATAAGTGCAATTAGTCTATTACGCTTCCATGTATACTTCTGGAAGTGGATCAGTTCGACAAGATACAACAGATGGAAACAGTGCCATCACCGCTGACAGTCTCTGCCGTCTTGTGTGTTTTTCTATATATTCCTGACTGGAGCTCACAATCTATAACAATGATGTAACAGGCGTACACCTGAGCTAGGATAAGTCAGTTATTGGTGTTCCGGGAATCGAATACATCAAACTGTCACAGATACTGCTTTTTTCGAACTTGCAAGCTTTACAGTACCAATGAACTGCGATGACTGCAAGTGGCACACCTAAATAAAATATTTCTGATTAGGACTTCAAAATATTGAAGAGAAAGCAAGCTATGTGCAACAATAAAGGCACATCAGAATGGACAGTCACAGCGAAAGCTAGAATAGCGGCCTTTCAGAGCCTTTTCAAAACAGTCATTGGGTAACTGCTGCAATCACAGTTGCTTGATACCCACTAGGTCATTACTGATAAATTTATTTGGGTAGTAGGCCGGCATTCACTATGCTATTTTTCGTCAGTCTTCTGAGAATCGTGGTATCCGCTAAATACTTGCAAGAAATTTTGTGCCAATTGTTCATGC